AATTGTTCAAAATGTTTGTTCTGCAGAAATCAGTCCGAAATTGTTCTGACTAAAATTGAAAATGTCTCAAATTTGGAACATTGTGCAGCGTAAAATGAGTGTCTTATCAAAGGACAGTCGCCCAACATTTTCCAGGAGGGGTGAAAGTCTCTATTAGCTGTGAAGAGTTTTATACCCCAGACCCCATTACTAGTAAGGAACCCATTTTATAGAAACACATGTGTTATCTTATAATTTTCTATATTAGAAATTATTTAAAATGTCATCTATAATAAAATAACCGTAGTTATAGAAAATATATATTAATGAAAAAAAAAATTACATTTGGGAACTAGCGTCCATTACCAAGAATATAACTTAAATACAACTATTTTTTTTGCTGAATTCAAACATGTCTTCTAATTTTCTCTAGTAGTTTATTACATCAGTTAGTTTGTTTAAATCACCTTAGTAATGAGAATTCTCTAACTACCTTTTTTTTTTAATTACAAATTCTACACTTAAAACAGCAGTTCTGAAATCAGAAAATAAATTATTATAAAAAACTACATTTGAAGATGTTACATTGTATTAAAAATGAAAATGTAAGTACGGTTGTTTTTACAAATTATGAAACGAAAAAAATTCAAACAGTTCAATATTCATAAATGATCTGACGACATAACGTGTTATTAAAATAAAAAAGTAAATTTATGTTTAGTGAACTGTGATTATTGTGCTTCTTTATCCCACGTTCCTTTCTCCGCGGACTAAATCTAATATGTCATAAATCACCATCAGGTATTCGCCATGTGTTCGGAAAGATGTATAAAATGGTACTCTAGGTATTCTAGCGGGGACGACCGTTTCACTATGGCGAATTTAATAAACGAAACGGGAAGGATAATCGAAGAAAGCGAGGTGAAGAACTAATCTGACCTGCCTTTTTACATCGTGCATCATAGCATGCATACTATACATAATATAAATAATGTTTACAATGCACATTAAGTTTGTAATTATTATAATGATTCATTTTACATAATCATTAGACCGTCATTGTTTTTACAAAGGAGATTTACATACACAATTTTATGTATGAACGCACACGAATCTATACACATTCATAATAAAATTCAAACCGGAAAGTGTAACATAGCGAGAAAAGTGTGGGGGAACGGTTTTAACAATGGTTATTATGTAACTGAAGACGTGTATGTACATCGACAGCTATACGAAGGTTTCAAATATTTCTTTTTTTTTTTTTGTAAAAATAAAGACACTTGAATAGGTGTTTTCTGTTATCATATCTACACATCAAAAACAATTGTTTTTTTTAACGAATAGTCAAATGCATTGAACAACTTTTTTTTTGGAATTTGTAGAAGACTAAAAATTATTATTCAAAATTTTTGAGTTATAAATTATGTCAATATACGATACACAATATATATAAATTGGTTTTATACGTGTTTCAAACAACTCGTTCATAACTAAAAAGTAGCGAAAATGAAATTAAACGACACAGAGTTGGTCTGTTAAAAAATGTGTTAATAAGAAGCAAATACATTGAATTTTTTGTTCTTAAAAGTAGAATTACTAAAGGACTAAAGTCAGAATGAATATTTTAATCTAAAATTTAAACCTGTATTTTAATTTTAATTATTATAATACAGGCCACAAAAATCAAAATACAAATAGTGATTTTACCGATTTTAAAAATACTCTAAAATGTATTTATTGTTTAATATCTAATGTATATTTTTTTGTTTCGGTACCTCCATAAAAATAATACAATTTTAAAGTGACTGTTAATAGAAGAATACTTTAAAAAATACTGAGATATATTAATTGAATACACATAATAGAAACCATTATACAACATCGTGTGCATGTAAATGGATTAACATAATGTATTCGTTTAATATTTGAACATATGGCGCCCTCTCTGTTGTAAAAATATTTGGTGCTAAGAGGGGAGAACAACCTCCACATCGTAATTGACTAATAGTAATTCGGGTACTTCATATTTGCAAATCCGACCTACAAAATCTGAAAGAAAAAAAATTGATTTTGATTTCTTTTATTATTACACTATGGGTCTTATATTTGATAATTTATGACGAAAAGATGAAAATCGAGGATACAGTTTGCAAAAGATTATTATAGACGAAGCGATCACAACTTGACAAAGTTTCTCAATAGTTTACTTTACTTAACAAGATGAAATAAAATAGTAATATCAAGTTCTTAATACTTGCTATTAGACAGCCACTCTAAATAATGACCAAACATCAGACATAATGCATTAACATTAAATTTTACTATGGACAATCCCCTACTGTGTTGTCTACTTTACCGGTAATACTTGTCTATTATTCTACATTTTAACATTACACAATTCATATTGAACCGTTCATATATCAATCTGTAGTATTCGTAGTATTCAATATGAACGAATAATATTATACAAATTTACGTTTTTATAAAATATACAGTACGCTTAAAGATGAAAGGTCTATAAAAAGTGACGGAAAACCAGGCATCAAAAGATGAGCAACCCTGTTAAACCCAAAAAATATATATATTTACCTAGTTTTATACATCTAATAAATGATTAAAAATTATTCTTTTAGTTTTATTACTATGATTTAAATTTGAGGTGTATGTTTATTTGTCATAATAATAAATTACATATTATGTAAATACAAAATATTACTAGTGAACGATACTAAGGCATGTCTATGTCTTAAGGCGTTAAGCTAAACCTAAACGAATTACTTTAAAATAAATTTCGTAAAGAACTACGTCATCGTTACCATAACAAGTGAGTAGTGATGATATCTTACTGCATAACTCGTGTGTTTTAAAATGGTAGTAGAAATGTTTTGGCATCCAAATTAATGTATTTGATTGCTAAATTCTCACTGTTATTTGGTCTTGAATGTAGAATGCAGTTTTCCCTGAAGAATGATGAATTGATAAGGTAAAAATGACACATAAATAATATGTATTTGCATTTTTATTGCATTTCGAAGGACTGTTCTCGTGGCCTCAAGGACGCGCTCATCTGGATGTTCTTTAAATATTTTTACCCTACATTTTATATTAAGACTATTAATATAATTATGTAAAGTACCTACATATATTATACAGGTGATTCTTTTATCGTGGGCCACTCAATATCTCACTAGGTTTAATTAAAAATTTAATTTTTTTTTAAATATTTTTATACAATGTGATCTCAATTGTTCACACATTTTTATGTTCTTATCCCTTCCCAAATTAGTTTTTTTGATAGAAACTTTTGAAACATAAATGGTAACGTACATATTCTATTAACATTTTAAATAAAGAATATTTTACTAAAAATGTTGATTGGTTGATAACTACTTTTGAACCACTATTTTTAATGTTATAAGAGTTTAAAAGTTAGGGCAGGAAGGAAAGTGCGGGTAAAAAGTGCGCAGATAAAAATAGTACTACACTCCACCTTTACTCCTGCCCTAAACTTGAAACTCCAATAACTTCAAAAACTGGTTATCGACCAGTCAACATTTTTAGTACATTATTTTTGACTTAAAAAGTTAATGAAATTTGTGCGTTACCATTTATGTTCCAAAAGTTGACATAAAAATAATTAGTTTGGGAGGTTTCAAAAATCAAGGTAAGAACATAAAAATGTGTGAAAAATTGATATCACATTTAATAAAAATACTATGAAAAAAAATGTAATTATTAATTAAGCCCAATGAGACATTGAGTGGTCCACTATAAAAGAATCACCCTAAATATACATGTAACATATTTACACCACAGTATATTTCCTAAAAATTGTAAACAGATTTTTATAAATTCTTGTAAGACGACATGGGAATAAATCATCGCTTCTACAGTCAGTATTTAACCAAATTTTATCCTATGGTAGCATATTTTGATAAAGACTTTTTGTTTTTAACAAATGATGAAAGGTTTACCAAAAGTTAATTGTACATAAAAATTACCAAATTTGATAATAATGGAATGTAAATTATTAAGTTTATAGTCTTTATACTAAATAATATTATTGTATTTAATTTATAAAGAAAATTCCTTTCTGTTGTTTTTTTTCTACTTGTGGCTTACATAATAAATCGCGGCATCGACGTAATAAATTCTTAACTCGAATATATGACCTTTCTTATGATAATAAGGAATGTATTTTTTGTATCTGATGAGAAATTAGTTAAACTATTAAAACACCATAAATCATTATTACACGCGTAGTGTTACAATGAAAGTTTCAACTTTAAAGTAGTGTTTCTCAAAATGGCAAATTTTCTGGTAAATCCAGTATGTTTTGTTAGTTACAATAATCTATCACATAATTATAATTAATATGTGACATGTTTGTACGTTATATTTGAAGTAATATGATATTCAATTAAAGCTATATAACTTATTAATTTATCTATCTATTTGTGTTTCATGGTACAAAACCATTATATTATGGTTGAAACGAATATTTATTTTAAGATTACATATAATTAAATCGTATTTAAAAAATTGCTACAGTTTCATATAGGTTCATATATATGACATATAATGCTACATTATATATTGAAATGGTAATAAGATGATTTTAAGATGGTCCTTAAATGACACATGGCGTTAGATGGCCTTCAATCGGCTCCTAATGTTGAGCAAATACTTCCTTAATTTCTCCGATTTTTATTTACCCCTCAGTCTCCCTGTTTGTACACAAGTTTTTATTTATAAGTATTATATACATAAATTCGACAAAAAACCAATCATGTTGCTAACAATTATTGTTCTAGTAGAACACTCAATAAAAAACTATGTAATATATGGTTTAAAATACTAAAAAATATAATTTATAGTAATTTAAGTAATTATTATTTTAAAAAAATACCCTTCAGTTTTGTACGAATTAAATATTGCTGTCGTCGTTAACTAAAAGACAATAATGTATATTAAGTAAGTAGGAGTAGGATAGTGAGAACAAAAAACAATTTATATCGTCAGTTTAAGAATTTTAAATACAATACAAATAAATACATAATACAAAAAGTAATAGAAGCGCTGCGATGTAGATTTACAGAACAGATTTACAACATGGCGAAGCAAATTCTGTATGGTAACATGAAGAGAAAGAAGATTAATCACAACCTTAATTAGGGGAATTTATTTTCTCCTGTTGTAGGCAGGTTCTGGTGTGGATGGCTGAGTAGCGAGGAACTCAAGCAACTTTGCAATTGCTGGTGGCAAAGGTGGTGGGGTTGGAAGATGGTCACCGACTGGCACGAATCCTTGAGGCCCAGCAACGTACTTAACACTGATTGGTGTACCATCTGGGGCTGTGTATGAATAACCTCCTTGAACGTTCAAAGCAGATTGGTTAGGATCTTGCGCCGGTTGAACACTTCCGCTTTCTTCAGCTTGGATTCCATTACCAGTCTCATACCTGTTGGTCAAAATTGTTTTCTTAATCTTTGAGTTTTTTCCTTTTATTAATTATTTCAAATAGATATATTAAAATTTAAAACCTCTCAAATACTTCTACCCCTTATGTGTAATTAGTAACTATTATATCAATGTATACTATGTAATATAGTAAATTTGTATTCGCTGTTCTCGTTTAAGTTTGTCTCTATAAGCATAGGAGTTGGGACCTTGAAGCTTGGGCTAAACAAGTCTCTGTTAAACAACCAATCTCTTGTTTCAATGAATATTTATGAACAGGAGTATAATTTCCGCAAATATTATGATAGTATTTCAGTTGATATATTCCTTTACTATAGTAAGTTACTTTGTTACATTATCGTTAAGATAATAGCCATAAACAAATTAGATGGCTAAATCATCACAGTATTCTGACCGAGGAGGGTAAATTAAAAAAAAAATAAGGTTTTCATGACAATTATAAACGTTAGGTAAAACACAAATATATATCTATTAATTATATTACTAGTTTACCAACTAGTAATTTTAGACCAACTATATGTTGCATTACTTAAATGAGTAAACATTATATATGTATACAATCATTATTGCTACTATACAGACAGCTGTTATAAAAGCAATAGTAATGATTTTAGTATTTGTTTTATGTAACAAAAATAAAGTAAACTACCTTTTATATAATTATTGCCACTTAAATCTGACTTTATTTATTTTCTAATGGTCGTTCAGTTTGATAATATTCTGAGTTCTTAATGTTTTTACATTATCAAAACAGCTTACAGAGTTCTAACTTGCAGAGTAATGTAAGTTAATGTCGAGTATAAAATGGCAGTTTGGTTTGGCGTTACCAGAATCGTGATTTCCTTCAATGTTTTTAATATGTTTATTAATTTTTGGACGATTTCGATATGGATCTTGGAAGTTTCACGGCCATAGGCTCGAGGGAGAAAAAAAGATACGCTACCTTAGTTGCTTAATAGTCAGTGACCCGGTTAATTCTCTTTCTTCATACACAAGTATTCGTGATAAGCTATCACCTTCCAGGGCGTGTTCGTTTCACGATCCAGACGGTTTGTGAATCGGCCTATCGACTGTGATGCCTCAAGGAATTGTAGAACGAACGGTCGGCGGGTCATCCGATTGGCAGCGACTGGGTCAAACCGCTTAGGGTCAAGCCCTAAGGACTTTCTCGTCCTCATAAAACACCGCCATCATCAGTCGGTACTATTATTATAGATTATATTATATTATATATATATATATATATATATTCTTTTATGTTATCATTATTATTATTATTGTTGTTGTTGTTCATACACATCTTTCACTGTGCGCAATTGTGTAATTTGACAGTGTTAAGTAAGATTATTACGGTCCATGATCGAGCACAAAATACCCAAACAGCCGCGTCCATCTTATTATACAGGGTTCCAAATTATTTTTCAGAAGTATTTCGTTACTGTGGTCAGTTATTTTCAAATACAAACTATCAACTTACGCAATACTTTTTGTTGTGTAAAGAACGGTACAATAATAAAGGTACTGAAAACCCAAGTATATTTAAAGTATTTTTGAAACAAACCAGCTAAAAGTAAAGTAATTTTTGATTATTTTCATAAACAATAAATATTTTTTTCAGATGAACGATTTTAAAACCAACCAAGATCTTCCTAACGCAGTTGAGTTAGTTATAATCTTTATTTTATATTCAATAATTGTTTTACATCCCATTTAATACACTATAGCCACTTAAAAAAAACTATTTTCAAAATGTCGCTTAGCTAGTTTTGAAACTAGACACCTCATTTATAGGTCTTTCATATTTTTTCAAACAAATTGGAAATGCCTACGATTTAAACAAAACAATTGTTTTGCATGTCCCATAAGTATATTAATAAAAAGGTGAACTGTACTAACGGTAATAGTTTGGCATATTATATAAATATACTTAGGTAAAACCTATAAAAGGTAATTTTAGATTCAACGTTTTTACAATGTCATCCTTTCATTTTTTTTTATATCGTCGTGACTGTTAGTTTCTATTAAAATATGGACATAAGTGAAGGGCTGCGGGGAAAAAAGATCAATGTAAATTTTTTTTGAAAATGAGATTTTGGTATCAAATTATTTGTATTGATGTATTGTATCTTTTATTCGCTCGAACCAGGGAAAAATAGATTAGTCGAGAGTAACGACCGCCGGAAGTTTAGGCATACAGGCAAAATGTATTACGTTTTGAAATTAAAAACATGATTTTCTCAAAACGTTAAAAAATTGACATTGATCTTTTTTCCCCGCAGCCCTTCATTAGTATGTACTATATCTTTTTATAAATTGAATGGTTTATTAATTTTTTTAATAAAGTTTATGTCCATTAAAATATGGTTTGCGTAAAACTAGAAAGGTTATTTTTCTTATTTAACGTCGTTAAAACTATAGTCAATACCATGTAGACACCATATTGTATAGAGCTGCGCCATAACATAATGTTTCATCAATACTTAAACGTGATTTACGCACTAATCACTGAACTTTAACGTTTCTCATTGTTATACGTCAAGGTTTCTTCTAGGCGTGAAAGGCCAAGGACACACACTAAGTAGATACAAAATGGCGTAGTCTATCTTCTATCGGTTAGATAAATAAGTGGTTTGAATAAAATAGCAATAATAACAATCATAATAATGATTTTAGATGTAACTAACTTTTCTAATGTCTTCTTTTTATAATATGTTCGATGTCATATTTTGTTAGATGAAATCCAGGATAAAGAAAGAAAATAAATATCATCAATATTATAATATTATAAGTCATACGATGTAGTCCTTATGTTAGCGTTTAATTATCACAGCCAATCTAAGTATAAATTTTAAAACAATGTTCATAATATCCGTAAGTAAATAATGCGGCTAACGAGGTTTTATAGTTATCGATTGGTGATTGTTGTTCTTTACATTATACATATTTAAAATATAAAGTATATACCATTAAAGCATTACTACTAAGAGCGTAATTAAAAATATATGTTTATTAATGTAATATTTAATAATTGGAAGTATAAGGATATAAATTCGATTATGTTTTGTTTATAAAAAAACTAGTTATAATTTATTCCAAATGTTTTCACGTTACAAATTTCGGGTTTTTATTTATGTTCTTTCTAATTAAAAAATTGTTTGTATTCTTGATTATTTAAAAAATATATATTACTCATTTTTAAACCAATCGGTGTTTTTAGTAGTATATTCTATAAAAACCTAGTGTAAAAAAAAATAACGTAACATATAATAAATATTAAACAAACTATTAATTAAACATGAACGAACATAAATATTGTTTTTATATTTTAGCATTATGGCAATAATTTTTCTTCAATAAGTGTAACCTTTTAATTAATGCCTTAATCACTCCGCGCTATATCTACTATAATAAACTTTAAAATGCCCTATCTTGCAAAAAAAAACAATTACTCAAAACAGATAGTCGACCATTATTGTTTAATAGAAAATATTTTATTAATGGATAAATTCGTTTTATTAACTGGCTCCTAAGTAGGTTCTAAAACAGTTTTAATTTTATACGGTATTCACATCACATTATAATTTATACAATTAATCATCTATATTACGGATTTTAAAGATTTGTGTTGGTGAATGTTATTTGAACACACAAGTGGCCTTAAATTGCCTATATGAGACGCCGTCTTTAATGGTTACGGTTTATAAATCATTTGAAATGTCCTATTGAAAATCGTGTTAAAAATAATGAGAAAAAGTGCGGCCCCTATATCCTTACACGAAGTCAGGAAGTTCGAAGACGTGTGTCGTAGGCGATACCAATCGTGGTAAATTCAAGGACTACGACTTGTTGTGAACGCAGAACCGGTAGACATCTCTTAGCACGTTCTTATAAATCGTATATTTACATGACTTATGATTTCATTGCATCAAAAATAGAAATAACATTGAGCTATAAATTTAAAAATAATCTACAACAAAATTCCTTATTAGACTTAAGAGTTAAGTGTAAATATTAAATGTCAACCAATATCTTATAAAACAAGTATTTTTCATTACTATTTTATAACACTAGCGGTTTTGTTCATCACCAAATTTTTCTATTTTTTATTTAATAGAAAATATTATACATAAATTAAGATAGACAAACTGATTGATGGAATGATAGATAAATTAATGAAGAATGTAGCCTGTGGTATAACATAACGTTGAAATAATCTACAAAAAAAGGAGTAAACTCGAAAACCAGATTTAAAAACCGTGTATCATTTTTCTATTCATGTGACCATTTTTCACTTTTGTTTAATACTTAAGAATTGTCAACAAAATATTAACTCATAAATTAAATCTTCTAAAGAAATACTTTCAAGAAAAAACATTGTCATAACAGTAAGAACCCAGATGACCCAGATAATGCCGATGACCACTTACTCCTGTTGCGTTTGTATGTATGTTATATCATAGGCCAGTGAACGTTGAGGTTTATTGTTATTTTTATTTCGGTTTATCTCATCGGCGCCTTCAACGACCCAAAGCATAATTTATTCGACTACCGCATAATATCCGTTCTCCGCTCGTTTAATGTGTATGGATAATAGTTATTAATCTTGTGTTATTATTATTATTAATGAACACTTGTCGTTTCTTGTTGTGACACACCGTCATCGTAACGTGGTCATCTTACAGCGGTCGGGTCAGAGGCCAAGGAATAGTTAACGATTGGGTCAAGGAATAAAATGATGTATGTGTGAATTTTATGTAGGCGTAAAACCAGTTATGTTTTTTTTTTTTTATTATCTCATTATAAATATGTTCAGGTTTGGTCGTTGTTTACGAATTTTACCGTTTTATAGATGCATGTCAAATAAATATGACATAACGGCAATAATATAATTATGTTCAAATATAGCGAATGGCGCCGTACACACGAGTCTACCGGGTTTCGATAAATTTTACTATCGGTGACGGGAAATTATTTTCAGTATTGTACAGATTGTATCACATAACCACAGTTGACCTCTATAAGTGTGGTTCTATAAGGAAGTTAAATCGTGTTCTCTATAATCATGCGTACACTAATCAAATAAAAAGTAAAGTTCATTTGTACGTCGTACAATAGAGTTATTAGTTAACAAATATATTTGTAACTATCTGTACATTTTTTTATCTAATATTCTGAGCAGTTGATAAATGTCTATGACATTGTGTACAGGTAGGGTAAGTATATTTTTATTGAGAAATTGAATTGTGTAAAATATTATAGAAACATTGTATATGAATAATGAAATCGAAAGATCAAAATATTTACTGCCAGATGAATGAGGGCATATACAGTTATATTAATTGTATTAAATGATTTGGCTATATTATACATTTTCAAACGTTGTTCTTACTCCCTAAACAATTATAAAAACAGTGCACGTGTTCGGTATGCCAATATTTAATATTATATATCCTATGTTAAATCTGTTTACTGAAAATAATGTACCATTGAAATACCTAACTCGTGATTTAAATAGAATATTTTGGGTAATTATTCGTAAATATTCAAATATTTAAATCTCTCAAAATTCACTCTCTCTAAGTTGGCAAATAAACACATAAGGAATAACCATTTACTCACGCCCATTTATAAGAACCATCGAAATTGACTCCATCGTTTTCGTATCGCACGATAGGGATAGGGGTCGTCGGCGAGCCAGATGGTTGATACTGTTGGCAGCTGACCAAACTGGCCAACATACAGCCTACTACAGCAATTGTCTGGAAAATAAACAAACAATTATCGGATAAAGAATAATTCGTATCAAACAAGAAAATATCAATAACCGGACCACATTTTGACAGCAATATACACATATATAACTATAAAGGATCACCCGAACTTAATATTAGACATCTTAACATATCATAAACATAATATCTTTAATCAATCTTAATAGGTTCCAGTTACAACGATGATTATATTAGCTACTATATTGAATGCGATTTCGTTGACATGACGTCGCGTCAAACCGATAAACCGCAATCAAGGAAATGCTACTAGCTTCTAATCGGAAATGTTTATAAATTTACCAAACGGTCATGCCTCGTGTTATAATAAGATATCGCTATAAAACGAGTGTACCTTCTTATAAATTTGAATACGAACTCTAGTTCAGATAAATATATATTTTATTTGTAAAAACGTATAGATTACGCTCACTATTAACTCTACTCGGACTCTATCTAATAGAGTCCGAGTTCATAATATAATTAAACAACATTGAATTTAATAAGTGTATAATTTTACAGTGAGAAAAATTGAAAATAGTGCACTACCCGCCGTGATAACCCTGAGAACTCCTATTAATAATTTACAAAATTGTGCATACAAATAGGTACATACTAGTTGCATGGTGCGTTGAATATTCTTCGTTGTTGGAACGTAGGCGTAAGTAGTCAAAAAGTATATGACCGGTGTATGTATCGATAGTAATGTAATTTTACTTTCGCTATCCAACACTACTCTCGGTACTCGCGATTTTCAATAGGCATCTGATGCCCACGGTTGTATTTATATGCAGCATTGGCACGCTAAACCCCCTCTGCAATGTTTTCCGCCGATCGCCATCTGTATTCGCAGCGGCAATCACTTAATTGACCTTTGCCCTCAAGTATTCTTGTCAATCAAATCGATTCGTATTTTATCGCAATAGCTCTTGACGTCGTAGTCGGTCAGGGGAAGTAAGTTTTTGGAAGCTACCGTAGTAAATTATTATTATTATTACAATATGACATCATTTCAACATTATAGTGGGTGACATGGGTCTGCCAAGTTTATGCAAAACATTAATCCGGGTCTATAATACACTAAACACTACTTCTCCAGTAATATTATTGAGTATATTAACAAATGTATATAAACTGGATGTTTACGGCTTTGTCTGATAATGTACTAATAATATACATAAGAATTACTCACTAATACAACATACTTATTAATTTTTTTAATTAATTATCATAGCACTTACATCACGCAGAATGTAGTATTTACGCATATTAAAATATAATATTATATTAAATTACACAAAATGTATTGTGATTTGTGACACACTATTTTAAGATTAATTACTTATTTGTGAATAATACGATTTTAAACATCTCACTATATTGGCTAAAGAATAGTGTAACATTTAATTAGAACTAATTAATGTGTTTATGGTATATTAATGTCGATGTATTTGAACCGACTCATAGTTTAGTTCAACATTAAAACATAAATAACTAAAATTAATTATTTTTTATATTATAGTCGTATTCTACATTTTATCAAGATAAAGATAATTAATTATTATTTAAACTATTATCGAATGTACATTGTTATATGTACATATATCCTTGGTAACGTGCATGGTGTGAATATTTAGCACAGTTAAATAATAACATAGTTAAATAATTATAATAAAGAGACGATATTAGCGTGTATTTTTTGTATTTTTATGTGGGGTCGAACAAGTTGGCAACGGAAAATAACGGTAAAATAATTATGAAAAATTATACGAAACGTTTGCTAGATTTTGCTAGGCTATTTCCATATTTTTCTGGGGTCTTTACATAAAGTTATACCAGAAATAAACATGTTTATATAATATTATCTCTACGTTTTGAGCTGAGATCCTATAGTGAAAGTCAAACTGCATATTGAAAAGTTCTATTCGACTAAAAATAATTTTATGGGGGTATTACTTAAAGTTAAACTTTCGAGTAGAGCTATTAGGATCTTATGTGTTCCTAGTACTATTGCATGGAGTGGAATCATAGATCCTTACTATTACAGGTCTGTAGAAAATAGAGACGTTTGAAATAAGGAATATAGACGTATGTCTAGAATAAGTTAGACAAATAGAGTACAAATAAAAGAATCATGAAACTATTGCAGAGGGAAAAATAAATTAAAAAACAGTAAAGGTCCACAAATCAAAACCACTTTGTACATATGATGAGACACCCAGGTAAGTACGGTAATTTACATAAATTTTCTTATAATACTATGATACTGTTATAGGGAGGAGTTAGCCAACATGAATGCTGACTTACGCTAGGTAGTATAAATATTATAAATATTTTTTTAATTCTACAATTGGTTGAACAAATTATTTTAAGTGAAACTTGAAATAATTATTCAGTCTATCATTCAGATTAAATATATCAGTATTTAAAAATTAGATAATAGATTGTCACTTTAATTTTTTTCTGAAAAAATCATCGCAATATTGTATTGATACACTGGTAAAATATTAAAATGAATTAAACCGTTTGTGTGACATTCCGTAGGTTAATGTACCCTAGACATTAATGTGCAAATGTGTATTTACAACATTTAAAAAAAAAATTTAAAAATAAATTGCATAGACTATGCAATAGTGAACATATAGCATACTTTTATATATTATATATTATTTTAGTACTATAGTCTCTAATCGACATAAGAAAATAAATGTTTTGTATAACACCTAAATATCACGTTTGATGTTTGAATTATTTGTTCTTATATTCTTAGATGCCCAAAACAAAGTATGCTTTTTTAAACAATTTGTAAAAATACGATTTTTAAAGTAAGTTTTAACAGTACATCCTTGAATAATTATGGTACCTTTACAAATTTACATAATGTAATATAATATAATTTCACAATGTTAGTTGTAATAAAGGTATCTTCTCAGCTTCGCATTAAAGCGTTTTCTTTCTTAACAGTTTATTACTTTCAAATTGGTCGCCCCCTCTAAACCACTCATCAGACCACATTATGTAAAACGATACTTACATTTATACATTCTTTAAGTAAGTATGCTGTTTGTTCTTTTCAAATCATCTATAGAAAATATATACACAGTTTATAATACATATATATATATAGACATTTTATGATTTTTATCACTTAATTTTTTACTATTATGATATATAAATGCTATTATATTCGACTTAAAAGTCGAACATAAATGTGAATATCAGGTTATAAATATTTTTAGAGAGGTATAAACTTCTTCAGTTCAGTGGCTACTTATTAAATTTGATTAATTTTTGTAACAAGACGTTGATGCATTGTGTAAAATGATGTATTTAATGAAATTATATTGTGCTTAATAATCTATATATAAGGATATAATTTAAGTAAAACTGAGTTTGCTACTTCATTTTTACATTTATTACTTTATAAGAATAGCTTCGAAAACGCTTATCATCACACAATATTTTTTCTGTAGAGTTTGAAACTCTTCAATTAAATTTTCTTAAAAAAACATAAAACCAAGTTTTATAATCTATATAAATAAAACAACTAGTAAATAAACAACAACATTTACCGTTTATTATTTAATTTCGCAAAGAAGTAAAAAAAAATGTCTTATGGTTTTAAAATAAAATGTATTATAATTTTATAATTGAATTGAAAAACAGAAAAAATATTTAAAATTGTACTGTAAAAAATAAAAAATGTTTAACCTTAAGTTGGGTACAACATATTAAAAAAAAAACATGCTATGATATAAACATTTAGGTCAGAGGCCATCACATTCTTCCCCGTACTAGAATTCTATCATAAACTACTTTTTTGTTTTGTGTGTGTAATGTAATATTTTTTTTAACTTGTCCAAGACAACAGGTTATATCATTGTTTCTGATGATTTATGTATAAGAAAAAAATGGGCGCGTTGCATCGTTTTGAATTTTAGGATACCGTAAATGTTTAGAATCAATATAAAGTATTATATCTCTCAATAGGATAATTTAGTGATCTATATTTTCATCTGATTACTCATTCAGAGAAAAATTATGTGATACCGGCCAGTTATTTATTTATTTAAATCTACTGCTCAAAACAGCTGGGTCGATTTTCATAAAATAAATGTGAAATAATCCTTAAGTTTTGGAAGGATGACAAGGTATGTGAAACTCAGTAGTAGCACAGTGTCTGTATTTTACTGTAGTATATTCATGCTAGTAATACCTATACCTTATTCTAAACTTTGTATTCATATTTAAAACTTAATTATATTTTTAACTATTTTCAAATTGTATTAACTGGCCTTACATAAAAAAAAAACTGCGCATATATTTCGTTTGTAAAAAAACTAAAATCATTACAATATAAAAAACCGTTATTGTTATTTTATATTTTTATTTGCACATATTATTTCTCTAGTTGTTTTTAAATGATTTTTGATATTATTGTTAAATCGTATTAAACAGTAGTTTATATGATCACATCTTTAAATTGTAGTTATTGGTTTTAATTGATTTTACCTAGAATTTGAGTACCTATTATTATTATTTTGCTGTTGCCTGTTAGGCTAAAAAATGAATTAATTTTTGTTATCCTTGTAGGATATAAACATATTTTTTCTCTCTGCCGTAAATTACGATGACGGTCATCGCATTATTAAGTACATTTTTATATTACCTATACCCTATGATTTATTCGAGTGTACTTTTTTTATTACAGCTCATAATTAACACCGAACACAAGGTGTAATCGTGTTTAATTACTGTGTACCCTTAATTGGCGCAACAACGCGTTTCCAAGTGAAACGTAAATGGATGTTTGAGTCGATATAATAATTATTATAACAATTGACTCGGGGCGAACCAAAAGCCAGGCAATGTCTTAGTCTAGGTGTCTGTTGCCGAATGGATACCCAGGAAGTGATACGTTGGCAAAGTAGTGGTAAGTTGTGTAATGACCAAATCGTGCGGCAAACTGAGATTTTTAAACCGTACCCGAAAATACTCGACTGACGAGGAGGTCGTACGATCATAGACGGTCGATAATGATAGCCTGCGCTGTAAGTTAGGCCAATCGCATTGTGTGACCTGCTATAATGCCGTAGTACAGTGGGAATCGGAGTTAGCTCCTAACTGTAGACCCTCTACCGCTTCGGTCGAAACGCGATTGTATCAACACCGGCAAAATAATATAATTCGTCTTTTCTTTTTGCTTTCTTTTAGCCTTTGGACTACACGTTCACCGTATGTGATTGTGTGTCCCGTCTCCGTGACTTGTCTCATCGGTATGTCCTCCGGTCGGTGCTGTTAGCTGTACGTCGAGGATCGGGTGCCGTACCGGTTGATGATGTAACTCGACAAAAGCAGCAGCTGCAAGGCGATATAATATTGTCATCCCGCGTGGTCCTTGATTTATAATCAATGTTGGAACGGCCGACACGATCATCCGAGAACTCTATATCTACCTATTAAATGATATATATAATATAGTATTATGTTAAACACACACACCGGTAAATTCTAGTTAAGGTAGCAATATAAATACTTTTTTGAAGTATGAAATTTCAATGGATTTGAGATAAATTTTTCAATATATTGATTCATACTTCAAAAAAGTCAAAGCTCAATATCTCGAGAAATATCATTCTCAGAGATGTGGCTCAAAGAATATTTTTTATAGAAAATTAAATTTCCTATAAATACATTATTTACATTTTTTCTGTAAGTTTAGCCACTGATGAAATAACAACAAACAAAAAGAAATGTATACAAAAATTGACTTT